GGTTGAGGAAAACTTTTACTAGTAGCCACTAGCTCTTTCCTGATATTTCTGGTTTTTGAAATTCTTCCAGCTCTCTTGTCCTGAAAAGAGTTACTTCCCTTCACCCTGTAACCCTCATTTGGTTAGAACAGTATTTCCCAAACTAACTTGGCCATTGAAAACTCAAGGATGGAAATATATCAACAAAAACCATCAGTGATGGTCTAGGGGATCTGAAGAGATGGGATTCTTCTAGGAGGAGAGAGTCAGGAAATTTTGAAAACAAAACACAAAACAAAGCTTGCTTTCATAGTTGAATATAGAGCCTCACACATTTTTGATGTGTATGAGTAATACAAACTGTATAGTAAGGAGGTGTGGTCCATTGGAAAGATCTGTAGACTTGAAATCTGCCCTGCTGTCAATATGTATCACCCCTTCCCCCTTCTACCTGTGTCTCAGGGATTGATAATCAAATCAACACTACTTTTGCTACTGTGAAGGATGTGTACCTCATGACTCCACTCAGAATTTCCAGTTTGCCCAGGCTAAGGATTTTGTTCCCTGATCACCAATCCCTGTTGCTTCATATTCATCCCTTCAGAGTTCCCAAACTATTCTTCCCTATCCTTCCAATGTGCACCCTGGAACCCCTGTTCTATTGATAACAAATTGACCTTCATATTAGACCTGTGCTTTCTTCCGGGAAATTACCTTGTATACATTTTGTGCTTATACATGTCATGCTGCTTCCCCCAATAGAATATAAACAGCTTAAAGACAGGCGCTCTTTCATTTCATCTTTGTATCCTTAGTGCCTACAACAATACCTGGTGCATACTAGGCACTTAAATGAATAGCTTAAATAAAGAAATTAAATAAATGCTTGTTGAATTAAAATCATAAGATCTTAGCTTTCTGACCCTTACTTGCTATATGACCTTGGGCAAATCTCTGGTTTTTTTCCCACTGTAAAATGAAGGGGTTGTACTGGCTGATCTCCAAGATTCCTTGTAGCTCCAACATTCCATGTCATAAGGGTCCTTCCAGCTTTGACATTCTGCTGTGGTTCCATTAAAACTTTAGAATGGAAATATGGCTAGTATTGAAGTATCCCTAAAGCCTTATTCACACAAGTGTTGTAGAGAACAATACTTAGGAAACCTTGGGTTTCATAGGTGGCCAAGGAGAGAAGTACCAGAAAACAAACAATACTCAGACAGCAGTTTCAAAAGTCATTAAGCTGGTCTACAAACTCCTGGTCTACAAACCTACTTGACCCTCTTGTCATCTCTACCCACACAGAATCTCCATTTCATCCTTTCCTTCCATTTTACTTTCCCCTTTTCTCCCATCCAGGAAGGAGGATCTGGAGTAAGATTGAATTGGAGATGAAGCAAAATTCTTTCACTACAACCATCTTACTTTAGGTCCTCATCTTTTTTCTCCTTCCTGAGCTATTTTAATAGCCTTTTAACCAGTCCCCTGACTCCAGACCCTATCATTTCCAGGTCATCCTACCCTCCTCCTCGGGTATCCTAATGCAATGCCTTGATTATCTTACTCTTCTACTCAAAAACCTTTAGTAGCTCTCCATTGCCTTCTGAATAAAATCTAAATGCTTGATGATGACATTCAAGATCCTCTACTATATGGCTTCAACATACTTTTGAAACATTATCACCCACAGTTCCCATTCGCATGCTCTATATTCCAGCCCAAGTGGACTACTCTTTATTGTCCTGTCCTTTTATCATTTCTATCTCTTTGCTTATATCATCCCCGTGTATCTCCATCTTTTGAAGTGTCTTCCTTCTTTCAAGGATCAAATCAGATGCCACCTCCTCCATGCAGCTTTTGCTGACTGCTTCTGCATTCCTTCCCTTTTCCATTTCCATTCCCCTATTTTCTGCATTTATCTCAATTTCTTTTATTATAGTTGTTTGTGCACTTGCCTTTTCCCTCATAACATTGCAAGCTTTTGCAGAGAAGAGTCTTTGTCATATCTGTCTTGATATTCCCAGTGCATAATACCATGCCTTGCACATAATGAGTACTTAAATGATGTTTTCACTGAATATGAATGAGGTTTTTTTTTTAACTAGTCCTTTCCTAGGAATGTGACATCTTAGAGGGTGAAAGCTCTTTCTTTCTGAAGATTGGACAAGTGAGCACAAGTTATTGACAAAGAATTCAGGGGTTTCCTTATGACCAATTTCAAAATACTCAGACTTTGGACCCATTAATAGAGGTTCTTAACATGGAATCCATGGACCCCCAAGGAGTCTGTGGATAGATTTCAGGGGGTCTCTGAACTTGGATAGGAAAATTACATCTTTACTTCAATATAATTAGTTTTCTTTGTAATCCTATGTCTTTAATTTTATGCATTTAAAACTATTATTCTAAGAAGGAGTCCATGACACAAAAAATGTTAAGAAACCCTAGCATAAGTCATTGTCCTAGGACCTATGGTCAGAAATTATAAGAAATCAGATTTTTGGCTCAATGAAATAGCAACAACAACAACAACTAACATTTATATAGCACTTACTATGTACAAGGAAGAACTTCCCAACAATAATTGTTTTCTGTGAATAGAATGGACTGTATGAGAGGTCATGAACTGCCTATCACTGGAAGTCAGAGAATCATAGTTTATTTTTTTCTCAGGTGTTTAATGCATGTTACTAGTGAACATGTGACTCTCACAATATTTATTTTCTGCATGTTAAAGAATACTTATTTTTCTGTTATTTCTTTCCTTTTAAAATGCTTTGTTGATATTTTCTTTTTCTATCACTATCACTTCCCAATGATCTCCCCCTCTCTAGAAATAGTACTTATCCTTGTAATAATTAAGTTCAGCCAAATACAACAAATCAACATATTGACTATGTCTAAAAAATATATAAATATATACACACATACACCTTATTCTGTACATATTACCCATCACTTTTTTTTTTTGCTGAGAGGCAGGGGGCAGAATCCTAGGATCTTAGAGTTGGAAGGGACCTTAAAAGTCACATAGACCAACTTGCTATCCAGTGGAAGAATTCCTCCTTTAACATTCACAAGAGATGGATCATCCAGTGTCTGTTAAAACAGCTCCAGTGATAGGGAGCTTGACTCCTCCAACAGCAGTTCCTTCCATTTCTGGACAGCTCTAATAGTTAGGAAGTTCTCCCTTCTACCAATTGGTTCTAGGCCAGTGACTCCTTGATGGGTCCCAAGTTTGTGCAGATGAGGATTGTTCATAAAGATACCCTTTGGATTCATTGCCAGTACCCTGTGTTTACTTCTCCAGAAAAAAAAAGGGGCTTCCCCAGTATGGTGGTACATCTTCAGTAAAGAATTAAATTACATTCAGTGAGACATATGAGCCTTCCTGTAGTTTTCCAAAGTTAGTCCTAGTTCTCCCCTGTTAGTCATATTGAGCAAGCTTAATTCATCTCCCCATGACAACCCTGCATATATTTGAAGACAGTGATCATGTCCTCCCTAAGACTCTCCTGCTTCAGGCTAAACATTCCCAATTCTTTAAAGTGATCCTCATATGACATAGTTTCCAGCCCCCTCATCATCCTAGTTGCCTTCTTTTGTATGTACTCCAGATTGTAAGTGTCCCTTCTAAAATATGGGAGGCGGATCCAAGATGGCAGAAAAAAGGCAGGAAGTTGCCTGAGCTCTCCCCAAATTCCCTAGAAACAATTGTAAATCATGCCTCAAAATGAATTCTGGAGTGACAGAACCCACAAAAGGATAGGGAAAAACAATTTTCCAGCCTAAGATAACTTAGAAAGACAAAGGTCTGTCTTACTTGGGTGAAAGGGGAGCATAGCCCAGAACAGATGGTGTCCAGGCAAGCTAGTAAGAGGCCTCTAGTCCCAGCACAGATCATCAATCAAGACCCTGAGGCCTGGCTCGGTAGGTCAATGCCACAATAGGCCAGCTATGAGAACCCAGCCCCTACACAGCAGGCTAGTGATTAGGTCTGCCAGGCCTGAAGGCCCTGGCACAGATAGCTAGACCAGGCTGGGCAACTTCAGCACAGTAGGTGAGCCAGTAGCCCAGAGGGCTGGTGCAGAAAGCCAGTGACCAGGCTCCTGGACCTGATTCAAGAAGCTTGGGACAGCATCCCTTGTATCCCCAGAGCAGAACTTAACTTTAAAAGTCATGAAATAGGCCAGAAAATGAGCAAAAAATCAACAAAAAAGTCCTGGCCACAGAAAGCTACTATGGCCACAAGGAAGATCAAAACACAAACTCAGAAGGGGACAACAACGTCAAAATGCCTACATGTGAACCCTCAAAGAGAAATATAAATTGGTCACAGGCCCAAAAAGTCCTCTTGGAAGAGCTCAAAAAGGATTTTAAAAGTCAAATAGAGGTAGAAGAAAAATTAGGAAAAGAAATGAGTTATGCAAGAGAATCATGAAAAAAAGAGTCAACAGATTGGTAAAAGAAGCACAAAAAAATGGAAAAAGAAAACAACTTCTTAAAAAGTAGAATTGGCCAAATGGAAAAGGAGGTACAAAAATCTACTGAAGAAAACAACTCCTCCTAAAATATGGTCCCTAGACCTAGACACACGTCTCCAGATGTAATTGACCAGATCAAGGGACAGCAGGATTATCATGCCCTTTGATCCAGACATTATGTTTCTGTTGATGACATATGTAATTGTATTAGCTTTTCTGGTCAAAATGTCACATTACTGACTCTTATTGAGCTTGTAGGCCATTAAGGAATCTAGCTTAGTTTCACATGGACTATTGTCCAGCCTTATCAAGATAGCCCTGCATGTTAATTGTCATCTACTCTATCCTGTATCCAAAGAGTTAATTGATCCATTTGCATCTCAGTCTAGAAGGAGGTAGCTTTAGTTCCATAAGACCACAGTAGAAAAATATCATTCTCCCCTCACTAGCTAGCTACCTTCTGCTTCTAGTAGCTGGCTTAGTGAGGAGGAGTACTTCTAGAAAAGTTAGAACATGAAGTGAGGAAAACAATCTTACCTTTGATCTTGGCTTCAGTTGAGTCTATGTTTGACTTAAGTTGACTAGCACAGAAACTCCTGACTCAGTATATACATGTCAGAGGTGGCATAAATCCCTACAGGAGGAAAGAAAGGAGAGAGGGTAAAGTGAGCTTCCACATAAATTAGTTTCAAGTCTCCAATCTCAGATCTCAGGTCATGTATCTAACAAGGGGAAAGAACCACATATGTCATCTAGTCTAAAATCTTAATTTTACATATGAGGAAACTGAAGACCAGGACCTTGGTAAGACCTGAGTATCAGTTGCAAGGAATAAGGTCAAAGATGCTAAATCTACTGGCTTGGGTCATTTCCTCTCTCTAAGCTTCAGTTTTCCCTTCTAGAAAATGAAAGAATTGGATTCAATTGTATGTAAAAGGTCCCCTCCAGATAATATTCTGTGGTCATAGAATCCTTCTCATTTTGAAATTCTATGTTTTATATTTTAAGAAAGATTTCAGTTCTGACATTTACATTCTAAGGATCCTTCCAACTTTGACATTCTATCTTGAAAAGGCGTTTTCCAGTTCTGACATTCCATAAGATCATTCTAAGGTTCCTCTAAGGTCTAAAATTCTATGTTCCGTGTTTTTTTTTTTTTTTGGCTAGGCAATGGGGTTAAGTGACTTGCCCAGGGTCACGCAGCTAGTAAGTGTTATGTGTCTGAAGCCAGATTTGAACTCAGGTCCTCCTGAATCCAAGGCTGGAGCTCTATCCACTGCGCCACCTAGCTGCCCCTGTTCTATGTTTTAAAGTCCCTCTCAACCCTAACGTTGTAGGAGCTAACATTCTCCATTTTAAGCTCCATTAGAACTCTCTCAGGTTATGAGCCTGTGAATTCTCAAAGGACTCAATGACTCTATCATGACCTCACCTCTCTTGATAGTTATCATGTGATACAGTCCCATGGGACCAGTGTGGCTCTAAGGAGAAGCTCAGGAGAGCAGATCCCAGCCCTCTGACTACTCCTAAACTGTGTCTTAGCAACATCACAGCCTTTGCTTTGGCAATCTTGGCACTGCCTGCTTAGCTTTACTCTGTATTAAGCTGCAATTGAAGGTGGCATGAGGCTGCCATACACCTACACACCTTCTACTAGACAAACCCAACTAGGACACAAACAGACATTAGCTCCTTGCCCAGTGGAGGCAGGTACTGTCTGCAGCCATCATTTTCACCTGGGTAGTGCCATAGTGGTCCCACCTTTGGCTAAGAAGGGGAAATTTACTTGGATCATTTTAAGAAGGTAATGTGGTATAATGAGATTATCACTGGCCTGGTAGTCATAAGGCCTACCTGGGTTCTTGTCTTTATCACTAATTCATTGTGTGGTCTTGGGAAAGTAACATTCTCTTTGTGAGCCTTTCTTCATGTGTAAACTGTCTTCAAAATTGAGCTAAATAATCTCTAAAGTCTCTTCTTGCTCCTATATTCTGTATTCTAAAGTTCCTTTCATATCACAAAATAATGTATTAGTCCCTTATATATTATAAAATCTCTTCTATATCAATGAATTGATCTATCAATTATTCCACAAGCATATAATCAACAAGTGATTTGCAGGAAGCATCAGTAGATAGGGAATCAGGAATATTCTTTCTCATATAGAATGAGGTAGTACTTGAGGTGAGCTTTGAAGACAGATAAGGATTCTAGGTGGTTGGGATAAGTAAGGGTCATATCCCTTATGGGCCTAGGAAATGCAACAGCAAGTTGGCCTAGGTGGCCGAGTATATGTAGGGGAGAAATATTCAATTATACTAAAAATTTAGGCCACAGCCAGATTATAAAGGGCTTTAAATGCCAGACAAGTTTGTATTTTATCTTAGAGGCAACAGGGAGCCACAGGAGATTTTTGAGCAGGGAAGTGCTATGGTCAGACCTGTGCTTTAGAAATATTACATTGGCAGGTATATGGAGGATATATTGGGAGGGGAAAATTTTGCGGTCTGGAGATCAATTAGGAGGCTATTGAAATAGTCTAGATAAGAGAGGTTGAGGGTTGGAACGGCCTTAAAACATAGAATTTCAAAGCTAGAAGGAGACTTGGATCATAAGAGGTAACAGCTGGAAGGGTAGTCATCATGTGAATAGAGAGAAGATGATGCACATAACAGATGTTTGAGAGGGAGATTTCACAAGGCTTGGAAACTTGATTGAATATGGGAAGTGAGAAGGAAAATTTGAAGTTGCAAATCTGAGTGGCTGGAATGGTTGTGGTTTCTTCAGTAGAAATGAGGAGGTTGGAAAGAAGAGTAGCTTTGGGGGGATGGTGTTTTGTATATGTTGAATTTGAGATGTTTATGGAACATCCAATTCAATAGGTAGTTGGTGAAGTGGATCTAGAACTCAGGAGTGAGACTAAAAGTGAGAATAGAATCTGATTGTTCTGTGTGTAGAGATAATAGTTGAACCCAGTGGATCTGATGGGCTCAGTGAGAGAGAGGGTGTAGAGAGAAAAAAAGGCCCTGGCAGAGTCTTGATGTATACCCACAGTTAGGGGGCACTACATATATTCCTTCCAGAAGACTGAGGTGAGAGAACAGTCATGAAAACCCAATGAGGAAAGTATATTCAGGGGGCAGCTACGTGGCGCAATGGATAAAGCTCTGGCCTTGGAGTCAGGAGGACCCGAGTTCAAATATGACCTCAGACACTTGATACTTACTAGCTGTGTGACCCTGGGCAAGTCATTTAACCCCAATTGCCTAATGAAAAAAAAAGAAGAAGAAAGTATATTGAGAAGGAGAGGGTGGCCAACAATGTCCAGTGCTACTCAGAGGTCATGAAAGTTGAAGACTGAGAAAAGGATATTGGATTTAGTAGTTAAGAGGCCATTGGTAACTCTGGAAAGAGTGGTTGCAGTTGAATGATGAGTTCAGAAGCCAGATTATAAGGAAATGAGAAGTTAGTGAAGGAAACCTAGTGGAGGCACTGAATGTAGAAATGTTTTTCTAGGAGTTTTACAGTAAAAGGGAGAAGAGATATAGGACAACAGTTTCAGGGAATATGGAGTTACATGGCGGTTTTTTCTTTTAAAGAATGGAGGGAGCTGGGTATATTTATAGGCAGCAAGGAAGGAGCTAGTAGATGTGAAAAATTCTATGAGTATATGAAATAAAAAATGAATAACTTAGTGGTGGAGAAAGTAATATAAGAACCAGGACTGCTCACCACTTATACAGCAGATATCCTAAGCAGAGAATTCAACTAAATCCATTATATTGTGGCATATTTTGAGGGTACCCTGGCCAAATGACTGAAGAAAGGTCACCTCAGATGTGGGAGAGCCCCAAAGCTTGGCAATTTCTGGGTCCCCCATAATTGTCACAGGTACCAAATTTCCTCCCTAAAAAAAAAGAGGCTTCCCTCCAACAGGACAGAGCTGAGAATTCAACTGTTCCTCTGGGGCCTAGACTGAATGCATTTCATTAAACACCTTGGCCCAGAGAGAGCTGCTGTCTGTGACCAAGGAGAAACAACCTGCAATTTCACAAAGCCCAGGGCTGGAGGTGGGGCTAGAGTTGAGCGAGATAATATTTCTGAGGTTTGAGAATTACAGAAAAACAGAGTATTAGTGGGGGACTCTTTTCTTATCTGTATACCGGAGTAGTTATTTAGATGAGAGGCAGTGTGGTGGAAATGGAAAGGCTCCCACATTAGGATTCAGTAGGTCTATATTCTACTCCTGACTGTCACTGACTCATTGTGTGGAGTTGGGAAACTCCCTTCTCTTTCTCAGAGCCTCAGTTTCCCTATTTCTAAAACGAAGAGGGTTAGATTAAGTATTTCTATGATCTCTTTTGATTCTGACAGACCATGAATCTACAACTCCCCTTTTTATAGCACTTGCTGTTCTACAAAGCCTCTTTCCATAATATACCTGTGAGGTAGTTAGTGTAAGTGTTATCCCCATTCTTCCAAATGAGGCAACTGAGGTGGAGGAGGTGACATCTATAGTCAGACAGCAAGTACATGGCAGAATCAGGACTCAAACCTGGGTTTTCTAACTCTCAGTTGAGGGTATTATGGTAATATAACACTCAGACTTCCTTTTTCAAAGTCATGCCTGAATAATTCACATATAGGTGAGGGAGGGTGGGAAGGTTTGTATTGGAGTTTGACATTTTTCCTCATTACTTCAGGATCTGATTGATTGCCTACCACCTGTACTTCAGATTTCAAACTAGTCTTGCAAAAAAGGCACTAACTCACTGATGGGGATAGGAATGCTTTTGCATATTGCTTGTCAAGTAAACAATTGCTCTTATTTGCCTTCTGGGCACAACTCCTGACTCACTGGGAATGTACACCTACTGTGTGTGTATGTGCATTTGTGGATAGTCTTATCCCTAAATGCTTCTGCTAGCAAGGGCAGGGATGTAGTGGACTTATTTGGGAGGCGGGAAATTGATGGAAGAAAGTCTCCCAAAGCCCCAGATCATCTGAATTGTTAATTCTATGTGTGCTTCATTCTCAGCCCTCAATCTGGTATCCACACCAGCAGATATGTCCTGACTCCTCCAAAAAGATATTTTAAAAATAAGAGTCTTCTAGAAGACATCTCTCTAAATATGCAACTCATAATCATAGAATCTCAGGGTTGGAGGAGACATCAAAGGTCATCTTGTTCAACCTGCCTTTGAACAGAAGAAGCCTTCTTTATAACATCCAGAGAAGGGATCATCCAGCTTTTGCTTAAAGACCTTTATTTAGTAAGCAGGAACCTACTCTCTCCAGAGGCAACCTATTCCACTTTTCAGAATCACAGAATCTCAGAGTTGGAAAAGACCTTAGACATCTCCAGTCCAAATGAGAACTGACCTTGAACTTTCTACAACAGTAGTGTCAACCTCAAATAGGAAGAGAGCTTCACTGCCTCATATTAACTTAGTAAATCATAAATTAACATTATCTGTGCTGTATTGTTTTTTAAATTTATTTTGTTAAGCAATTCCAAATTGCATTTTCATCTGGTTCCAGCCACATTTAGGAGTTTTGCATCTGGAGGCTACAAGTTTCTCACCTCTGCCACATCCTTCAAGAGCAGTCATCAGTATTCCCTCGAAGATTTTTCCTTCTCAAGATAATCTGTTCTTACTTTTGGAAAGGTCTGATAGGAGATTTTTCCTTATACTGAGCCTAAATCTGCCTCACTGAAACTTCCACTCATAGTTCCTTGATCAGCCCTTCAGATGCATGTTTCTTCCAAGTCTTTTTTTTTCTCCAGGCTTAACATCTAATATCAACCAATCTTCCTATATAACAATCTAGAGCTCCTTTACCATCCTGATCATCCTTCCAGGGCTGGGGAGCCTGCAGCCTCCAGGCCACATGTGGCCTTCTAGTTCCTCAAGTGTGATCCTTTATTCAGCCAAAGGACTGCACTTGACACCCTAGAGGGCCGCATGTGGCCTCAAGGGCACAGGTTCCCTGCCCTTGCATCTAGACCCTGCATTTTATCAATGTCTTCCCTAAATTGTGGGATCCAGAGCTGAACACAATTTATCAGACACAATCTGACTAGGTCAGTATACAGTGAGATTATGACCTTCCTAGTCCTGGTTATCATGCTTCTCTTAATGCAGTCTAAAATTGCATTAGCTTTTTTCCCCTGTCTGCCATATTACATTGTTGACTCATATCAAGCTTGCAGTTCACTAAAACCCCTAGGTCTTTTTTCAGATAAATTGATTTCTCCAAAAAGGCTCCCTGTAAACAGGTTTCCTCCTCTTGAAAATAATGCTCAATCAACAGAACCTTAGATCTGAGATCTCTTGGCACAGAAATAACTTTTGTCTAGGAACTGAGATTCCCAGGTTCTAGTTCTAGTTATACAATGAATTCTGTGCATGACCTTGAGCAAGTCATAGCCTACATGCAGGCCCCATTTTCCTCCATTGTAAAACAAAGGGGTTGGACTATGATTTTTAAGGTTCTTTCTAGCCTCAGTGTTTCTGAATTCTTCATTTGAGTGCAAATAATCTTTTAACTTGTTATCATTTGTGAGAAATCATAGATTTAGAACTGGAAGGGTCCTTAAAGATTGAATCCAGTTACTCCATTTTACAGATAAGGAAACTAAGGTAATTTCTCTTCCCTATAATAAGAATAACAACAATAATCTCTTATTTGTGTATAGAACTTAGTTTACAAAATGCTTACACTCCTTTCCCCTCATTTGATTTTCATGTCACTACTATCTAGGTAGGGCAGGTACTATTAGCCTCATTTTATAGATGAAGAAATAGAAGCTCAGAGGTTAAATGGTTTACCCAATGTGACATCTCTGTCTTATATTTCTTTATCCTAAAGTGACTTCTTGCTTTGAATTCTATCTTTTAAGACTTTTTGAAGGCCCAGCATTCTATTTTCTAAGGTCTCTTCTGATGCTGATATGTTATATTCTATTTTCCTAAGGTCCTCAAGTTCTATGATTCTAAACAGGAAAATCCTAGAGGGAAAATCAGCCAGCCTTTTCCCCAGTAATGTTGGGTCCATTTCCTGACTGCTTATGGCCTCCTGGCTTCACACCCATCTTCAGTTTAGCTTCTTTAATTTTTTTTTCAATGAATAAAAATCTATATTCTCTCCTCATCTATTTCTTTTGCAACAAAAATGAAAGAAAGAAAAAAGAAGAAAAAAAGAAAAGGAAAGAAAATCTCTGATAACAAATAGTTTTGCTTTCTAAAAAGATCTGGGATAAACCCAAACTGTGCTTCCAGCCCAGACCTAGGTGGTAAAGGGCTTCCTTTTTGTTCAGGGGGCGGGGCATGCATGGTGGGTGCGTGGGAGCAGCAGGAGGCAGTCCGCTACCCGGGAGGCGGCTTCCTAGTGATTTCTCAAGCCCCTTAGCAAACTCTCGGCCTCACACTTTCGAGGGATGTTCAACGAGGGACCAGTACAAGGAGATGGCAGTTCACATCCGCGGGTGAAATCTCAAAGCTGGAGGCCCTGAGAAGATCTGCTGCTAGGGATCTCTCTCGAGCCGTTCTCCTCCAATTTCTTTCCGCCCCCTTAAACTCTCTGCAAGCTGAGGCCCCAGGCCTTACCCTCTGGGAAACCACGCTCCTGGTACACTAGAAGACCAACTGAAAGGCCCGGGGGCTGCACCTCCCGGGCCTAACCCCCCCTTCTAAAGGAACCCGGCCCAATCCTTCCTCCTCTTCCACCTTTCCCCCGCACAAAACTCCATCCTCTCATCTCTCCCTCTACTCCTCACCCCAGCAAACGCTTCCAAACCAAAACAAATTCTGACGTAGAAACGCGGTTATTAATAGCTTGGGGGAGCCAAGGCCGAGTGGTGTCTAAACAAGGTGTTGACTGGGGCATCCCTCTAGGGACTCATGAGGGAAGAGGGAGGAGAGAAGGCGACGGGTTAGGGAGGTCCATAGCTTCCAGGCCCATTATCCAGCTGCAGACCACAGCCTCCCCAGGGCTCTGCTTTGTCTGAGCTACAGGACCAACTCGGCTAAAGGCTGAGGCAGTTGCTGAGGCTCGGGGACCCTGGGGCAGTGGAGTTTCCCCTCAGATTAAGTGATCAACTAAGCGGCCTCTAACTTGGTTGTAGTCAGCCGGCATGGGACTGACCCAGGGAGGCCTGGGTTTGGGAGCTGTCCTCTACCATTGTGCTGAACTATGGAGGCTGTAGTTTAAATCTCTGCATCCACAAGAAGCTGACAGAGGCAGCGGGTTCCGGAGCTGTCTCCCAGCATAGGGCTAAACCGAGGAGACCAGGATGAGATTCATCAACAGAGTGGTACTGAACCCAAGAGGCCGGAATTTGGAGCTGTTCTCCCTGTTGGTGCTGACCCAGGGTGAACCAGAAAGGAGGAGGGAAGGGAACGAGTGAACAAGGGCGCTGCCTGGAGCGTGCTCCAGCTTAACAGGGCCTAAGACTAGAATCTCTCTGGCGCTCTCGCTCTGAGGAGAGGTGGACTATTCACAACAAAGACCGTACTGCACCAACCTGCTGCGGGCTGCGGCTCTTTCCACCCTCGGCGGCTGGAATACTGCTTTCTTTCTCGAGCTTCTCTGCCTTCCTTCCCCGCTCTCCCGCTGCTCCGTGGAGACTGGCTCCCTCTTGCAGGGGAACCGGGCTAGTACATATGCACTAGGGGAGTACCAAACAGGGGCTCTGGTATGCACCGACTCTCGGCCGGGCTCCTATTCTCCGGCTTTCAGCTCTCAGGCGGTCCTGCTTCCTGGGTGAGCCAGGCTTCCTGAAAGGAGGAGGGGGAGGGGTGGAGGAGGGACGATGAAGAATAGGGAGAATGAGTGAGCTAGAGAGCAGCTGTAGCTGCAAGATAGAGTCCGCGGGTCACTCATTCACCTAGCAGTCTACACAGATTTCTACTCTGACGTGGGATGGGTTGGGGGTGAGTAGTAGTCCTAGTATGTTGGCCAGAAAGATCATTCTCTGGAGGAGGGGTCTTGACAGCACCTTTTTCTCATTCTTAATTCCAGATCTAGGAGACCCTTGGAATCGATATCTCAAAGGCACTTCACCTCCTGAATACCGAGGGGGTTAGCGAGAAGGCAGCATTATAGTGGAAAGGGCACTGAATTGAGAACCGGGAGAGAACCTGAACTGATGTTCCAAATCTGCCACGAGCTAATTGTGTGACCTTGGACAAGTCACTTCCTTTCTGCAGCCCTCAGTTTCCTCCTTGTAAAAAAGGAATTGGTCTAGATGATCTTCTAGGTTTCTTAAAATTTTAAATTCTGCGTTCTAACATTTTCTATTTTAAGGCTACTCCCAGCTCCTAAATCCTGTGTTTGGAGGGTTCATCCACCTCTCACATACTCCAATTCTACAGGCACTAGGAATTTCCCAATTAGAAGTGGGAAAGAGAGGTACACCAATAGACAGACACTGATAAAGGATGATAGCTTTGGAGTAAGAAGGAAATTTAGAGATCATCTGGTCCAACTCCTTTATTCTATAAATTAGGGTACTGGGGACAATAGAGCCTTTGATTTGCTAAAGGTCACAAAGGTAGTAAGTAACAGAGTTGGAAATCCCTTGGACTAAAAAATTCCAGTGCCCTTTCCACCAAACCATGCTGCTTCCAAAGGTTTGCCTTACAGTAGTAAGCGGGAAGAGAAAAAACAGATAGAACCAAGAAGTTGGAAAGGTTTGATGTTGGCCCTTTTTGGATGATTCCCTTCAGTGTCTATTCTCCTACCTAAAGAGAGCACTTGGTTAGGCTGCATCTCAGGAAGTGCATGGTAACTACATGGAGGAGTTGCTTAAACACACATCCTTGTTTTATAAGGATTTCCTCATAGTTGCTCCTTCCCCTTTTATTGGTAGCTATAGGCAGGATGCATGTATAGTCTCAACCTTTCAGTTGAGAACAGAAAAGAAGTCAGTTAGTGTAGTGGAGATCACTGAGCCAGGAGCCAGAAGACCTGAGTTATGCTTTTGGCTCTGTCACTGATTTACTGTGACTTCAAGCAAGTTATTTCACCTCCTCAGAGTCTCAGTTTCGTTATCTGTTAAAAAAGAAGGCTGGATTAAATGATTTCTAAGTTCCCTCCCAGCTCTAATATATTATATTTTATGTTATAAGCTCTTCCAGTTTTCACGTACTATGCTCCAATTCATTTAGTTTGGTAAGCCTACATTCTAAATATCTTTCAGCTCAAACAATTTATGTTCCATGCTCTACTGTCTTTTCTAGAGCTGAGAGTCTATATTATGTGTCCTAAGTTCCCTTCCCATTCTAATTGGAAGACCTCCCTCCCCTTTGGCTTTGACATTCTATGTTCTTGGATCTTTTCTAGCTTGAACTTCCCTTGTTCTACAATTTCAACTCTAGCATCAGAATACCCTAGTTTGAGAAAGGTTGTAGATAAACTTGAGAGGATGAGATTCTAGATGGAGTTAGAATGAACAGGAACATTGGAAGGAAAATGCTAAGCACTTAGAGCCAGGGGATATTAAGACTTTCAGGTGAAAGAATGACCTTCTGCTGTAAAAATTCCACAGATTTAGGTTGAATCTGTCAAACTGTGAAATAGAATTGGACACAAATTCATGACTGGAATCTCAAATCTCTCACCAGCTGAAGCCTTTGCTTTAGGGGACCAAGAGTGTAAATAACTCTTCTGTCTTATTGAGTACTCAGGATTCTTAGCCTGATAGGAGGGTGGGAAGGTTGCTTACTAGCTGTGTGACCTTGGGCAAATCAAACAATCTATCTTAGCTTCAGGTTTCTCATTTGTAAGCTGGGTGTAGTGATTCTTGTGTTATATACCTCTTGGGGAGGAAAGCCCTTTCTAATCTTGAAAGCACAATAGAAATGGTATATGCTGTTTTCTGTGACTTCTGTAGAATCAGATGTAAGTAAATGTTTTGGTGAGTTGGCTTTGTAGCAACTTGTTAATATGAAACCAGAGAATCATAGCATTAGAGTTGAAAGAAACCGTGGAGATCATCTAATCCAAATTTCATTTTTATGGAGGACAAAATTGAGGCTCAGAGAGACTTGCCCTTTCCAAAATGACTTGTTAAAGTTAACACAATAGGTTAGTGGCAGAACCAGGAGCAGAGATCAGGACTTCTGACTCCTATGTCAGTGGCCTTCCCCCCTACCCCCCACATTTGTATTTGAGAGGCTTCTAGAGATCTTATTCTTATAGAGGTGTCTAATTGAGAACAGCAGTTTTTGAAATTCTTAGATTGTGGAGGAGTATTAGGGTTAATTACAAACGAGTTCTACATTCTAGTCTTCAAGTAACTCTAGTTTTCAATAAGAAGTGAAAACAGTTGAAGTGCCCAATGTCTTCATGTCAGTGTTTCTCCCTGCCACCAGCTGCATCAATATTAAGGTACTGTGAAGTATATGATGGAATGATAAGTTTTCAGAGACATTTGTGACTTTGGAATACTGGATAAAACCTTCAACAATTCATAGTTTGACAGAGCTAATAGGGGGCCTCAGAACATAGAATGTTAGAGCTGGAAGGAAATTTAGAATATAGAATGTTAATGCTAGATGTGGAACGTAATATATTGCAATATAGAATGTTAGTGCTGAAAGAAACCTTAGAACGATGAATTGTTCTACAATGTTAGTAAATAGAGCCTGTTAATTCTAAGTGTTTCCTAAGCAGTGGGGACTTATGCTGATTTGGGTTGAACCCATTCATTCTATCTGGTCCCTTTCCCCTCATACCAACAATATACATTGGCAAGGTGGCTTTCCTGTATCTGCAGCTACTCTCCTATGGTTTTACTCTTAGCTGTCTGACCACTTTTTAATCTCTTTTGCTTGATTTCCATCTCTGTCTTACCTATGGTTAAATATGCCCCAGAGCTCTGCCCTGGGTCTTATTCTCTTCTTTCTCTACCTTGTTTATCTTGGTGATCTCATCAATTTCTGTGGGTTCAGTTAATTTCTATTCAGATGACTGCCAGATCTACATATCCAGTTTTCATCTCTCTGCTTAGCTCCAATAAAATATCACTAACTGCCTCAGGGTCATCTTCAACTGGATGTTCCATAGGCATCTCAAATTCAACATATCCAAAGCAGAACTTATTAACTTTCTTTTTGTTTTAAAAGTGTTTATTTATATATTTTGTCTTTGTATTATCTTTATTTTTGAATTTCTTCTCCCTAACCTGATCCAATAAGTTACCCATTGTAACAAAGAATTAAAAATGAGAAAAAAAATCAGTTCAGCCAAATCAACCAACACGATAAATAAGCCTAACAATATATGCAGCAACACACACTTATAATTCTTTGTTGTTGTTTAGTCATTTTCAATTGTGTCTGATTCTTCATGACCTCATTTGGGGTTTTCCTGGCAAAGGTACTAGAATGGTTTGCCATTTACTTCTCCAGCTCATTTTATAGATGAGTAACTGTGGAAAACAGGGTTAAATAACCTGCCCAGGGTCATATAAGTGTCTTTCTTACTTTCCTACTTATACTGAGAGTACCACTATGCTAATTACCCAGATTTGCAACCTCAGAGTCAACTTCAAGTCTTCCCTCTCCCTTTCATATTTAATAAGTTGCCAAATCCTGTTGATTCCACTTCTACAGTGTCTCTCAAATCCATCCTGTTTTCTTCTCTCACAAGATCATACCATAGTTCAGCCCTTCATCAACTCTCGCCTGGATTATGGTCATAGCAGTAATTGGTTTCCTGTCTCCAATCTCTTCTATTTTTCCCATGTAGCTGCCAAAACGATATTCCTAAAATATGCTATAGATCTAACAAAGTAACTTCTCAAGAAGCACAAGGGCTTTCTTCTTGCCTTCAGTACACAATTACACATTTTTCTGTTTGGCGTTTAACATCCTTATGATCTGTTTCTGTAGGCTCATTATTTCTATCACATACTTACCTTTTCAATTAAGTCAACATACTAGTTGTTCTCTACACATGATATTCCCTCTCCCAACTCTTTATCTTTGCACAGATAGTCCCCCTATGATGCTCACCTCTGCCTCTTAGAATCCCTAATTCCCTTCAAGGTTCAGCTCAGGTTCCCTTTCTTTCCCACAAGTCATTTCCTGACCTCTCTGGTTGTTAGTGCTTTCACCAAATTACTTTGTGTTTATTTTATTTTTCCTTCTCTATGTACAGTTGTTCCCTCTCTTTAGAATGTAAACTCTGCAATTTGGAACTACACACAAAGGGTGATGAAACTGTATATACCCTTTGACCCAACAATACCACTACTAGTTCTGTATTCCAAAGACATCAAAGAAAAAGGACCTATATGTACAAAATATTTATAGCAGCTCTTTTTGGTGGCAAAGAATTGGAAATTCAGGGGATGCCCATCAACTGGGGAATGTCTGAACAAGACGAAGTGTATGATTGTGATGGAATGCTATTGTGTTATAAGGCATGATAAATAGGATGGTTTCAGAAAACCCTGGGAAGACTCACATGAACTGATACAAAATGAAGTGAGCATAACCAGCAGAACATTGCACTCAATAATAGCAATACTGTATGATGATCAACTATGAATGATTTAGCTATTCTCAGCAGTACAATGAACCAAGACAATTAATTCCAAAGGACTCATGATGAAAAATGCTATCCATCTCTAGAGAAAGAAGTGATGGAGTCTTAACGCAGATTGAAGAAAATCTTTTCACTTTATTTTTTCTTGTCTTTTTTTCCCTCCACAACATGGCTGATTCAGAAATATGTTTTGCATGACTTTGTATGTATAATTGATGTCACATTTCTTGCCTTCTCAATGGGAAGGGGAGGTGTGGGAGAGAGGGAGAGAATTCAGAA